GTTAGTGGTTCTTACACTTCAGTATGTGTTAGAATCCCCTGGTAGGCTCATTTAAAAATCTCTAGACTTTATTCCAGAGTAGTCCATAGGTCTCAGGTGGAGCCAGGAACTTGAATTTCTAGTAAGTTCCTATCTGATGACGCTGCTGTTGTTTTTAGAAACCCCTTTGAGCATCTGTTTTCACATATTGTGCCTCAAAAGAGACTATTGTGGTTGTGGTTTTTGCTGTAGCTGTAGATGACTGTCCCAGTACTCTGTGGATAGGATAAGATCCCTGACTATCAAAATACCCTCAGACATTTCCAGCTATTGCCAGTTGATAAGCACTGAAAAGTTTGTTATTTCTGATTTGGAAACATAGTAGCTATTGAAAGTGTTATATAATGTGTAAATTCATTTATCATACTTTTTTTGAACCAGGGTTTTAAAACCTAGTTAATGCAAATGAAGAGGAAATACGGAGAAGTGTGCTTGAAGATTTTTTGAAATAGGCTTCCTCTTAACAGATTCTCAGCATACCAGTATGAGAGATGAAATGATGTAATTGTTTTTGTATCCGTGTATTTGGACATGCTTCTGCCTGCTGGATGAAGGTGCTAGAAAACTGTTCTGTCTTTGCTTACCCTCCTGGTGAATATGAATAGATTGATAAAGTTTGGTGGATTAAAATGTGGCCTTTCTCTTTGGTGTAAGCTTGTTTCACTTTTATAGATTAAAGATAAAAGATTTATTAAGTATATTTCCCAAGACCATAAGTGTATGTATTAAACATTTTCTTGGTGTAGCTTCAGGGGTGTGTGTGTGTGTGTGTGTGTGTGTGAGATATCAAGGCCCACTCAAAATTATGCAGCGCAATAAAAAATTAAATTGGTTCATAATGAAAGCATGTATTTGCTGTATTGACAGTTGTTTGTTCCAAAAAATTGTAACTGTACCAGTGCAAAGAAACAGTCACCTGATTTCAAGCCTTTTAATATTTCAGAAAGTAGTTTCTATAACATTGATTTTAATGTATGTTAAGAATATCTACATGTAGGAAATACTTAAGTATAGAGATTTATTTCTAACTGTAATCCAGAAAGCATCTGGGGACTCTGACTCTGCTTCCCAAAAACCACCCTAAAATGGAATTTGGTATCTTCTCAGTTTTCCACATTGCTCAACCATTTTGAGATTTTTGCGAATGGAGATGGGTTTGGCTCTGAGAAGGTACAAACAATGTTATATCTTTTAACATTGCACCAACCACACCCCTCCCTCATGTTTTCTGTTCAGGAGTAGGATTCCTTTCTCCATGGAGGCCCAGGTCTACAACATTAGGCTTTTTTTTTTTTTTTTTTTTTTACCTCCTGTCAAGTATTACTAATTGCCTTCAGTCAAGAGATAATTATTTTTAACTCCTGCGACACTAAAATGAGTTATGTCTCTACAAAAATCAGTGCTTAACTTTTATTCTTGGTACTTGAATACACAAAAACAATTATAAACAGGGACCTACCTGCCTTGAGTTTTTACTTTGTGCTATCTTGTATGTTACCTAAGTCTTCTGGTTGGAATGTGGTTCCCTCCCCGACCCACATGCATATTTAACAGCTCTAGCGTTACCTTACTGGGCAGCCATAGAACTTTACATTTGATCTGTTGCTAATATGTAGATTTATGCATGAGGATTAACTGGGAAAAATAAGACTATTACTTTTTTTTGTAGTAGTTTCTTAGCTGTGTATTGTGCTACACTGACCTTTATCTGGAGCCATTAAATTAAAAAAAAAAAATTAGTGGAGTTTGGGAAATTTGTGGAAAATAACACGCTCCAAGTTTTTGGGGGTGGGAAGTACAATATAGAAAAAGTGTTCACTTTCTTAGTTTCTGCTTAGCAATATAATGTGCTTAACTTATGTTCTGCTGTTTGTGCTAAAGGTATTAAAGTCAAACCTATATTAAAGTATAAGAATTAATGTCAAGAACTTTTTGACATATGAATGGATGAAATATTCCCTAGGTTGGTTGAAAATATGGGTCTCATAATTTGAATTATTTTGAAATTACTCAATGTGAAGACGACCCTATCACAACCAGTTTCTATTTCTTTTCTGTAGATTATAAACACAGCATAGATATATGCATGTTAAATAATTTAGCAGTTCTTGAAACCCTGTTGGTTACATATCAGCTTCCTACAGTTTGCTGTGTTGACTGTAGTTTCTTGCAGTTTGAACACTGGGAATCCAGCTGTGAACACAGTGGACCAATCCTTTGCCGTGACAGCATTTGTATAATAAAATGACAGTATCTAACCATGTAGCGATAAAGGTAGAAAAAAATGACAGCTACTCCTTTAGTTAAGGGGTTGAGAAAATAGCTATCTTAGAAGATAAAAGGGGAAAGAAAACGATTTTGATTTAGTTTGTGCTCATTGAAATTTAGTTGTGCTGAAGTAAGTGGCTGCCGTTCTGCCTGAAGCTGAACTGTCTTAGTTGTAGTGACATTTGGCTGTTAAGTCCTTGGAATGGAACTAGTGAGATGAGGAAATGAAATTGTAATATTACTGTAATTGATTTAAATTCAGTTATTGATAGAATATTAAGCATACTTGGAATGACTTGGGTATATTAATCTACTTTTGTATCTGATTTTATGTAATCAAAATCCAGATAAGTATTTTTGAGGAAAATTTTTGCATCTGAATTAGATTTGCAGACTTACAAAGAAAAGAATGTAAAATTTCTCAACTTTAAAATGTGGCATATGCTGAAATGATAATATTTTGGATACATTGAGCTCAATAAAATATATAATTAAGCTAATTTGACCTGTTGCCTTTTTCCCTCCTTTAATGTGGCTTCTAGAAAGTTTAAAACTTCACATGTGGTTTAAATTATTTTTCTTGGCTCTGATCTTAGAAGAGTAATTTAGTCACATTTTAATTTTTTTCCTTTCACGATTGTAATCTTAGAATCCCATCACATAGGCTGTAATTATGTAATTATTGTTACCTTTTAAAATGAATAATGTAAGATTGAGATTTCAAGTATAAGCATATATTCATAGTTAAGTGTCAGTGTGAGAACCGTTTCCTGAGCATAATTACTTGGTGTTTGCTGTCCTGCAGGGAAGGAGTTGGAGCACCAAGTTCTCAGGAAATAAATTGTACACATTAAGTTTTACACCCCTTTCACTTTGTTACTTTTCTTTTTGTATTTCCTGTCACCTTGATACTATCCATAACATTTTTAAGCAAATGTTTTAAGTCTTGAAAAGGTTTGTCATACAAGATTTCTCCTGAAACATTTGTGTGAGGTTATCTTGTTTGCATATTTATTTCATGCCATCTAGGATATCCGCCTGTCATTTAGTAATTAATCTTCATTTCTTAGCAAGTCCTTGTTAGATATTTGCTTGGTGAATGAATGACACCAATTATAGAACAAACACAGTGTTTACAAATGAGGATACCAGAATGAACAAAAAACGGTCCTTTTGGGATTTGAAGTTTAATGGGTGTATGTAGAGCTGTAAGGAAGCTGACCAAGTTGTCATAATAAAGTGCCTAGAAAGTCTTTGAAAACGCAGATGCAAATAGTTCACTTATTTTGGGGATACCGGGCAGATTTCACTAAGGTCACCTTAGTCAGGTCTTGAAAGTGAGTATATACTTGACAGTTGTAGGCTTTTTGGACGAGAAGGTAGGGAGTGTTGTGGGGTGGCAACGTGATATGGTCACAGGCTGGTGGCAGTGAGCAGAGATCCTGAGTAGGCACTAAGCTGTCTAAGGGGAGGGAGCAAAGGCTGATAGCAGGGAAGAGAAGTAAAGTTGAGATAAGATTAGGATTGAACACAGTTAAGGAGTTTAGACCTTTATTTACCTATTAGGTGACTGCGAGTAAGGATAAGCCCGACTATTACAACTTAATGAAGTGTAGCAGTGACTGGACCAGAAACAATGTTCTGGAGCAGAGAGACCACATAGATCACAGATCCAGCCCCAGCCTCCCTACATCATATTTGAAAGGATCTTAGTGTCAGTGAGGATTGCTCAGATTCCAGATAAGAGTAATTCCGAGATGAGTGAATTTAGCTGTTTCTACCATATTGCGGGGGTGGGGAAGGAGATGCAAAGTGTTCTAGGGGTTTCTGGTTTGAATGATGGGTTGAGGATGCTATGAACAGAGACGCCAAAGGTAAGTGTGTTCAGGGTTGATGGTAAGGTGATTGATGTAGCTGCTAGAGGGAGAGGAAGACAATCCATTTGACTTTTTTTTTTTTTCCCCCCCTGAGACGGAGTCTCGCTTTGTCACCAGGCTGGAGTGCAGTAGCGCAATCTCGGCTCACTGCAACGTCTGCCTTCTGGGTTCAAGTGATTCTCCTGCCTCAGCCTCCCAAGTAGCTGAGAGAGACTACAGGCTTGTGCCACCACACCCAGCTAAGTTTTTATATTTTTAGTAGAGAGGAGGTTTCACCGTGTTAGCCAGGATGGTCTCAATCTCCTGACCTCGTGATCTGCCCGCCTCGGCCACCCAAAGTGCTGGGATTACAGGTGTGAGCCACCATGCCCGGCCTCCATTTGATTTTTGAATGTTTTGGTTTTAAGTCCTTTTAGGTGCTTTGTTGGGATTTTTATAACTGAAGAAAATCTCTCTGCCTGGTAAATATGTTCTCTCTCAAGGAACTGTCTGTCACCAAAGATGAGTGTATTACCTTCCTAACTCGTCCTGTTTTTACTTTTGCCCATGCAACTTATTCTCCACAAAATACCCAATGCATCCTTCTAAAACAAGACTTGGCCGGGTGGATGTGGTGACACTCCTGTAATCTGAGCACTTTGGAAGGCTGTGGTGGGCAGATCGCTTGAGCTCATGGGTTTGAAACTGGGCTGGGCAAGATGGTCAAACCCCGTCTCTACTGAAAAAATAGCTTGGCATGGTAGTGTGAGCCTGTGGTCCCAGCTACTTGGGAGGCTGAGGCAGGAGAATTGCTTGAACCTGGGTGGTGGAGGTTGCAGTGAGCTGAGATTGCACCACTGCACTCTGGGCAATAGAGCCAGACCTTGTCTCAAAAATAAATAAGTAAATGAAACATGACTCGGATTCTGCTTCCTTTTCTTTGTCAAACAGTAGTTTCCCACCTGAATAAAATCTCAGCTACATTGTAGACTGCAGGATTTTATCTGATTTGGTCTTGGCCCGCCTTTGCAACCTCATCTACGTTCCCCGTTCCCTGCTTGCTCACTAAACTCTGAGGTGGTTCTTCTGTCTCCCAGATATTTTTGTAGCTCTTTTTTGAGATGGAGTCTTACTCTGTCACTTAGGCTGGAGTGCAGTGATGCAGTTTCAGCTCATTACAACCTCTGCCTCCCAGGTTTAAGCGATTCTCTTGCCTCAGCCTCCTGAGGAGCTGGGACTACAGACACCCGCCACCATGCCTGGCTAATACTTGCATTTTTGAAGGACGGGTGTTCACCATGTTGGCTAGGCTGGTCTTGAACTCCTGACCTCAAGTTATCCACCTACCTCGGCTCCAAAGTGCTGGTATTACAGGCGTGAGCCACCATCCCTGGCCTTTGTAAATCTCTTACAAAAGCCTTTCTCAGAAGAATTTCACATGACCTCTTTTCATTCACGTTGTTTTGCTTGTTGTGCTTAATTTTTCTTTTTTCAAGACAAGGTCTCCTTCTGTCACCCAGGCTGGAATGCAGTGGTGTAATCATAGCTCACTGCAGCCTCAAACTCCTAGACCCAAGTGATCATCTTACTTCAGTAGAATAGACCACAGGCAAGTACCGCCATGCCTAGCTACTTAAAATTTTATTTTATTTTTTTTATAGAGACAGGGTCTCAGTCACTGTGTTGCCCAGGCTGCTCTCAAACTTCTGGCCCCAAACGATCCTACTGCCTTGACCTCCCAAAATGTTGGTATTACACGTGTGAGCCACTGTGCCTGGCAATGCCTACATTTTTCCCCCCATCTTCATCACTTATTCACACAGTGTTTGACATTTGGTATTGAACTGATCTGAGAAAATTTTCAGGAGAAAATTTTCAGGAGAAAAAATGGAGTCATGGTATGGATTTATTATTTTTGAGACAAGGTCTGGCTCTATTGCCCAATTAAAGTGTTTGGATGAGTATTACAGATTGTTTATTCATTCAGTAAATTTTTATTGAACATTTTGTTTCTGTCTGTGCATATAATAGTGAAGAAAATAGACACTGTCCCTATCTTCTTTGTGTTTGATGTCTAGTAGGTGGCAAGAGAAAAATCAGGTACATAAAGAAATTCTTAGGCAACTGCATCATATACTAAAGGGTCAGGAGCAAGAATAGCCAGCAGGGAGGGTGAGTGAGTAGTCCAGTTTTTAATAGATGTTGGTAGAATATGTACCCTGACTGAAGTGGAAAGAGAAGAAAGTTGGGTTGGATAAATAGGAGTTAAGATATCCTGCTGTGGGACCAGAGAGTGGAATGAGGTTGGTGGAATGGGAGAAGACTTATTTTTAACGATCGATATAAATTGTGATGTATGTTCTGTGTACTAGCTATGTCACATACAATGGCGTATGGTCTTGGTGGAACCCCAAGCCGTAAGAAGACCAGAGGACCTGGAAGTAAGTTTAAAAGGTTTCTTCAGGAAAGTAGACTTTTTAAATTTGAGTTTAACATGAAGGCTACTAGTTTTATAAGTTTGTTTTTCTCTCACACCTTTTCTTCCTTTGTTATACATTGAAGAGAAGACCAGAACCAACACAAATGGGAGAGGTTCACTGCCAGGAGAAACCCGCCAGGAAATGCTCAGAAGGGTCTCCTGGCTAAAATGTAGCTACTGGAACTCATTGTTGATGTGATTATCATGTATCGTTTCTATGTGTGATCATTATATATACTTCAGACATTGGTCTAGTTAATTCTTCTAGTAATTGAACTTTAAAATGACAATGTGGCTGAGATTTGCAGAGAAATGATTCAGTAAAAATTGCGTGTGATGGAGGGAGCACCTAATCCTCTTAGATTTTGATACATTGGCTATATTATACCAACATAGATTGAAAATCTCTGTACGAATGCTGGGAGGAGAAAAAGCATGTAATTAGTAGTTTGAGGAAATAGTGTTGCCCAAAACATTTCCCTGACTTGTAATCGTGTCTGTTTGAGTGGATAGTTACTCAGGTATTTTGGGGAGTTGGTAAGAGTTACTGGTTTCCCTCTGCCCTATCCTGTTTTCAGCGGCTTGCTTCCTTTAGCCTGGTCTTTGACCTCATGTTTATTACTGTTCCGTTGGATGGATTATAGGAATTTAAAAAATAACCTGTAAAATCGACCTTGCTTTTTTGGCTTGCTTTTATAAAATGGTAATTTCAAGTGTTTTCTAAGAACAGACCAGATTTCTTAGTTATATGATAGACATTACTCAGTTCCTGCATTTTGGTTTTAGTCTCTATTTGCGAAATATATCAGTTATATTCTTTTCAGCATCCTGGACTTTGTATTTTATAGTAAGTACAAGTTAGGAAGAATGGGAATGCTACCAAGTCTGGGGACCTGATCTCTGCCAGAAACACTGTTTTTTCGTCTCTCCTTGACAAGAGATGATGAAAACTTGGCCTTAAATGTATAACGCAGCATCTGCAAAAGGTTTTAAAAATGTTCAAGTTGACATTATGATATAATTTTGGTTAATAGTCACATTATAGTATATATATTCCAAGTATTTTTGGAGCATAAATAAATGGAATCAACTCTAATTTGCCAAAACTCTCATTTTTTTCCTATATACTATAGTATGAAATATATATCTGAATACCTAAAATTTTCGTGTGTGTTTTCCCAGTGTTAGTGTCTTAACCATTTCCTTAATTTTGCATCCTTGTTATCATCCTGTCTTTTTTTTGCTCCTGTCTTCACCCTAGGCTTCTGTCTGGAGGCGCGCCTTTTCCTGCTCCAGTCTGAACCGGCTGCTGTCTAGAGAGCAGCAGGAGCAGAACTGTACCCGACAGGCCTCAGTGCTTCTCTGGGTTGGACGTGCTCTTGGCTGGATTATCATTAGATGAATACTGGACAGCTCATGTTGACAGTTGACTATAAGTTTTCTGTTTGTCCCTTAATAGTTATTTTCCTTTGGCTAGTGCACACACACACACACACACACACACACACATAAAATAGCCTGGTTGCTAGTGTGGAAATACTAAAATGAGTTTCCTTTTTTTTCCTCTAAGAGTTTTATCACATCATTAAAAGTAACTTATGTGTTAAAATGCTAATTTAATGTGAATGTTTGTTTGATGCCATATAAACTAATAAGAGAACACTGTATTTGGTCAACAAAAGGAATGGTTTCTAAACAACCTATAGGGGTACATAAATGAATTGCAAGAGATTATGTCATTGTTACATTTGTGAAGGGCCAAGATTGCTTGTGCTGAATTAGTAGACACTGGAGTCATAGATTAGATTAGAAATAATTGATTCTGCAGTAGGTGTTGGTGACGTGGAATATAAGCTCCGTCTGGCAAGTATTTGCTCCATCGAAGATTAAGTCAGCCAGTGTGGGTTAGATATGAGGTGCTTCTGTCTTCCAGCAACTCCAAGCAACTACTAAATGTTAGAAGACAGCACAGTAATTATAAAACAATGCAGAAAAAGTCTAAGAGAGAACAGAACATCAGCACCTTTTAACAGTCAACTTGAGACTTGTTACATATGCATGAATTGAGAGGCAGACGGAAGGAAAAATTCAAGATTATACAAATTAATAAAAAATATGTGTTGGAATCTTGTTCTCAAAGCATGCATTTTGTTATGGTCAGCTTTTGGAACATCATGTGACAGGTTATCTAGCATCCCATTATCTGTAAGAACCACCTGCTGTGTGTACAGTTCAGTAGTAGTGCTAGGTATACTTTGGCACCTTGATGAATTACACATGAAACCTGTTGCCCAAAATAAATGTGTTTACAGGGAGTTTGGCAAAGAGAAATGAATGTAAGATGGAATAATTGGGAAGGATTTTCATAGAATGCTCTTGTTTGGAAGTGGGAGGATTAGATGACCATTCAAACAAAAGGGGAAGTATTATCTATCTTAATGAATGTGTCCAGGGATTTGGGGAGGCAGAAATACCTAGCTGTCAACTTCACGTGAGCCGTATCTGTTTTGGGGAGTGGACATGATCAGTGAGCCCACTATGCGCAAAGGCTGGCAGTTGATAAATGTGCAGAAAGCTGGTAGGAGACCAAAATGAGACTGGAAAACAAATCTAAAATCTTATTCTGTGATAAAGACCATTAGGAGATTTTTGGCAAGAGAAGAAGTAAGTTTGCTATTTCAGATTAACCTAGTGATTGGCAGCAGGATGCATTTGAACAGCCTTCCTTATGCTGCAGGCAGCGAGGGCAGTTGAGATGTGGGGTGGTGGGATGGGGAAGAGGGGCAGAAAGAAGACATGCCCATTGATGATGATAGGGTCACGACTGGGCATCTATCTTAATATAGGGGATTTATGTGGAAGAAGGAACGCAAGGGTGACAGCTTTTAAAAAGCCAAATGACAGGTATTTTGGTGCTGCTAAGAAGAGGAGAAAGGGCAGATGGAAGGGTCGGGGCCCTGTGCCTTCTAGAAAGCACAGGAAATCCTGATGCTCGGAGAAAAGACCTCAGCTAGGGAATTGATTGTTGGTAAAGTAAGCAACAATTGATAAATGAAAATATGAGACACAAGTAGTTACCCAGTGTCAAATGTATATAGGTTAGGGGGACTGAGATACCCTCTGTACATCCACAGAGAGCAATTTAGGTGTCCCCTGCAGGGGTTGGTGATTTGAGTCTTGGACTGGAATACATGGAAACCCTTGTAGCTCTATAGAACACTGCAGTTGCATTCATGAGTTACAGAAACGCATATGCCAAAGAAATGAACATGTACTAAAGATGGCTTCATTTATACCTGGCTAGTGGCCAAGATGAGGAAATACAGAACCCTAAGTGGACTAATCCCATTCTCTAACTCCTCAAACTCAAAAGTTACCTACATAGGCCCTTCATTATAGCCATCATTCAGATCCTCCTTTGAGGTCTATAAATAATCTTTATTATAGAATCGTACTCTAGAACCAACACCCTTCAAACACTATTTATACATAAACTGTATTTTTGAATTTTTTGAATAATGTGCACCTGGTACACAAAAATAAAGATACAAAGTGATGCAGAGTGATGGTAAATTTCTCAATATCCTCTAATAGCCACCCAACTTCTCTATCCAGTGGCAACCACAGTTCCTAATTTCTGGTAACACCAGAATTTGGTGTTACTAAAAGTTAGTAACAGTGGTTGCCACTGGATAGAGAAGTTGGCAACCACCGTTAATAAGAGGAGAACACCACCCTCTTATTCCTTCCAGAAGTTTCTATATTCATAGATATATTTGTATTTTTTTTTTTTTTTTTTTTTTTTTTTTGAGATGGTGTTTCGCTGTGGCCCAGGCTGGAGTGCAGTGGCGCAGTCTCAGCTCACTGCAATCTCCACCTCCCGGGTTCAAGCAATTCTCCTGCCTCAGCCTCCTTAGTAGCTGGGATTACAGGCATGTGCCACCACACCCAGCTAATTTTTGTATTTTTAGTAGAGAGAGCGTTTCACCATGTTGGTTAGGCTGGTCTCAGACTCCTGACCTTGTGATCTGCCCGCCTCGGCCTCCCAACGTGCTGGGATTGCAGGAGTGAGCCACCGCTCCTGGCCTGTATATATTCTTAATACATCCACATTTCTCAAATTTTTTTCATTATCACTTCCTCCAAATGCCTTTTAGACATTTTTTCCTAATTGACTCCCCTCCATTGGAATGTTGACACCCTGGATAACTGGATGATTGTAAATCTGTGCTGAGTACGATTTTTGTCCTGTCCCTCCCTCAACTAATTTTCTCCCTCTTGGGAGAGATTGCCCTGTTGAGAATACAAGATGTGGAGCAATGCCATCGTAAGTGGTTGGGATTTTTTTTTTTTTTTGCCTGAATAAAATGGGAATTCACCGGAGAGACTTTGCCCAGGTCATGATATAATATAGCTCATTTTTTAGAAAGGAATTATTTTAGCTACTTACGGAGAATTGACTGGAGGGGACGAGAATCCAAGCACTTAGATCAGTGAGGAGAGTAGAGAGATGATGGTGGCTTGGTCTGTAAAGACCACTATTGCCAGATAAATATGTAAAAGGAGAGGGAATAAAATGCATATAGTGGTCATGGCCAAAAATGAAGCATGTCTATGTATATTAATGACAAAAGCTCTGGGATAAAGTGAACCCACAGGTGTAGGAAAGGAAACTTTGGGAAATGAGAAACTCAATTCTGATTTTTAACCTTGAGGTCATTTTAAATTTTTTGTTAGGGATTTGGGTATATAAATAGATGATCACAAAAGGAAACTAGAATGGTCAAAATTCCAGATTTATTTCACCCTCTTATTCCAGTCTGCTCCTTACTGGAGGGTGCTTAGAGCCTGTCTGCTATATTCGTTCTGCTACACTAGTGGTGTATGTGAACATCTGGACATAAATTTCAGGGCTGTTTCTGTTATATTGAATGATTCTTATCCAATACAGAATCTTTAGGCCTTCTGAGATGTTAAGGGAGGCTTCCTTTAAGGTGTGAATACTCACATAGAGGTGCTTCCTGGGCTTTTGTTGAATTAGTGAACAAGCCGTTTATTTGTCCAAGATCAAAGAAGTTCTTAGCAGAATCAAAATAGGATTTCTTTATACCACATAGTTTTGCCTGAAATAATCACTGCAAAATGATTGAGAGTGCTTTTAATGAGCCCTGATTATGACCGAAAATGGGAAATAGCACATGTGTTCTAACAAAGGGACTGCAGGGAATTCTGAGGTTCACATGCCGCTTACGGAGATGATGCTATGCTTTGCCAAGGGACAGGAGCTGGGCTGGGCTCTGATAAGGTGCAGTGCCATGCAGCTTTGCTGATGGGAAGTTCCTGCATTCACACATGATGTGGAGGCAGGAAAAGTTTGAGATGGGAGGCTACAGCTTTTCTTATACTATGTTTTTCTGTTACCTATTAATCTGGTCTATATAGTCTAAATTTCTCAAACTTTGTGGCAATTGTTAAATGAAATTTTGTACATTTACAAAATGTGACAGGTTTTTTAAACTTCCCATCTGTTTTTAGACTTCAGTCTCTTTTTAGAAGGTGTGTTGTCATTCCATGTTAAACTATTAAAACATTTAATGGTCCTAATGTGTTTTCATGTAAATACAGTTATTGGATGCACTTCTAATTCAGAAGTAGTGTTCTCCAGTGAGGAGCTCATACCAGATGGGGCAGCAGAAGAAAGGATCCTGGCTGAGGTTGGTCGTCAGACCTCATCACTGATTTGAATTAGCACCTGTTTCCCCCCTGCATTTAAACAGATGATCAGCACATTAACACTGCAGTGATATCTGAGTACTCTCAATACGACATTTTGGTATTATTTAATGTACATGAATAAGTAATGGATTCTGCGAGAAATAGTTTTCCTAATTTGGTTTACATGTTATCTTCAAAATAAGTAACAGTAAGGTGCTATTTTTAAATGGTTTTAAGTATGTGGTGCAAAATAAACTATTGGATATTATTTGACAGTTTGTTTCCAGTGCCTTTTCATGATATATGAACATGATTGATACGTTACATAAGTAAAAGTGGGATTCTTGGCTGTGGCAGTAATTTACTTGAAATACTGAACTTTTAAAGAAAATAGTGGAGGCAGTTCAGGTAAGTTCATAATAATCTCTTGAACTAAAAAATGCAATTTATTGTTACTATAGTGCAGCCCGGTTTTAAAACCTTACCCTGATTATGCAATGATCAATGGTAGTTTTTTCTGACTGTTTTTGTGTTTTTCTGTTATGCGTGAGAAATGTATGTCATCACAAGAAGACAATTCTGGATTTTTTTGAAATGCCTTTTAGGAATTTGGGGACAAAATTAAGGTTGAAAATTTTCAGTGATGTGTTTCACTTCCTAACTAATAATTTGCCTCACTACAGTTGCTTTGCAGATAAGGCAGACACATGTTTTAAGTTCCATTTCACCTTTTCTCTAGAATTCGCTTTTCTTTTTTTCAAGTCTGGGCACTTGAAATGGAGTTAATTTTTTCTTAGAGGTCATTAATTATGTTTGAAAAAATCATCAAATTGTACTTTATTCAACTATGGGTCTTTGCTGAACTTCTTTAATAAGTTACAGGAAATGTTACCATATAACCTTAGAGGAAAAGATGGCGTGTGTGTGTGTGTGTGTGTGTGCATATTGTTTTTTCCCGAAAAACTTAACATTCTAGCTGGAATATTTAATTTTTCTTTAATATTTGTCTAAACTTCAGTATTATTTTTAATATTTATGAATGATCCTATGTTTGAACATGGCTTTATTTTAGGTATTTATTTCTCAACTTTGAGCTGCTATATGAACTTACGAAGAAATTTCTTTAAGAATATGTGAAATTTTGCTTTTTAAAATTTAGGGTTAGCCTGTCAGTTATTCAAACTTTGTGAATTTTGTTCAGTTTGACTCAGTTTTCATAAACTTAAGGTCTTAGGAGCTCCTTTATCGTTAATCCATCCTACGTCGGAGGACGTCACTGTTGTATGTTAATCACCATTGATAAGTCTGTCTGTTTTTGAACTTCATAGAAATAGAATGGTACAATATGTACTCTTTTTTTCTCTCAGGCTTCTTCCACTTCACATAATGTTTTTGAAATTCATCTGTGTTGCTGCATCTATCAGTACTTGGTTCTCATATGTACCATTTAATGAATATGCCACATTTTGTTTTTCTAGTCTTCTATTGATATGCCCTTGGGAAAGTTTTCATTTTGGGGCTATTGTAAATAAAGCTAGTATGAACACTCTTGTACAAGTCATTATCCATTCATTTCTCTCAGGGAAAATACCTAGGAGCAGTATTGCTGGTATAGAATAGCTTATGTTTCTTAGAAACTCTTAGAGTATAG